AATATATAAGTTTTTATTAAAAAAATTAAACTTTTTAATAAAAACACAGGCAAATTTGCCTGTGTTACAATTTAAGGTATAACTTTTATACTTACTTCTTTAATATATCTTTTTTTACTTTTTTGGCCTCTACTATCTATCTATCTTGACAACAAAAAATTTTTTAAAAAAAGTTGGCAAAATAGCTTACTCTTGCCAAAGGATTGGTAGTTTATAATTTTTAAATTTAGACAATATAGTAAATGGCAACTATATGTTTGGTCTAAATGAGTATAAAGTTATTATTTTAAATTAACCTCAAGTTAAAATATCTCTAGAAGCAGCAGCAAGTGGCTTGAGATATAGGTCTTTAAACAATAGCAGCACCTGGTTTAAAATATAGATAGTGCTTAGCAAAATTAAACAAAAACTCAATTATTAAGTTTTTGAATCTATTAATTTACAATATTAAGAATTAAATACAAATTTTATTTTTAATATATATAAATTTAACAGAAATTCAATCTTACTTTAGCCTTTATATTAACTAATATGAAGTTTAAAGTTAGATTAAAGTAAAAATAGATTTTATAATTAAAGCACAATATTACAATTAATAAATTCAAAAACTTGATTATCAAATTTTTGTTTGATTTTGCCAAGTATTAGATATAGACTAGAAGTGGATTAGCTAAAAACTTCTGAACTTGGTTTGTCAAAATAAAAAAAAATTAAGTAATAAAGTAAAGCTTTACAATAGAAATATATAAATATTGCTTTATAAAGTAGTATATAATTTTTTAAATCTTGGTACAGATTATAATAGTGCTATTTTTTTTATCATATTTTTCTTTTTTTATACTTTTCTATCTTGTTTTATTTATAATTAAATAGCACTTAGATTTAGTTTTTTTTTACTTCTTTTTTTTTATTAGGCTTTATATTTTTTTTCTTTTTTTTCTTTTCTAAATTTGTTTTGTTACTTTTGTAAATATAATATTTGGTTTTGTTTTTTATATAGAAGTAAAGAATTAACTTTTCTGTTTAGATCTAGATATAAGAAGTTTTAAGAAAGAAAGAATAAGCAATTTTGACAAGCTAACAATAGGCTTATATTGACTTATAAAAGTGTTTACTAGCCAGATTTAAGTACTAGCTTTTATAATAAGTAAATATATTATTAAGATAGATCACATATAGGCACTAAAGATTAGCAAATTTGTATATAATAATATAGCTAGGTGAGCTTTCTTTGTATATAATAACAATATTTAAAGCTAATTTTTTTTTTAGTTTTATATATAGTATAATTGTATAATTATATAGTTTGTTAAATAAAGTTAATACTATCCTTACTTTTATTATTCTTGGTTAATTTTTTTTTAAAAATTAGTTTATTTTTTTTGTAGCAATTTCTTCTTTTAAAACTTTTGTTTGAGTTGCTTATTTTTTATTATTTATATATATAAACTTTTTATACTATCTTGCTATTTTACTCTTACTTGTTTTTTTAAAAAAATTTTAGACTATTACTAAATTTGTAAATATTTGTTTTATATATTTATTATAATATACTTTATATAATACAAATTTAACTTTTATGGGTATGATGACTTAGTGAAGTGGTGGAGTTGTTGCACCCCAGATGGTAGGTCTAGAGTTCGAATTCCACAGATGACGATTTTGAAAATACTAGATCTATATCGGTTAATGTTAAGATTATCAGTTGGATCCAGATATCTATTTACACCATCTCAAATAGAAGCTTTGGCGCAATAAATCCAGGAAACCGAAATTACCAAAAACCCATTTGGCAAGTCCTGAGTAGGGAGGTAGTATAATCTTTGACAGTGCTACAAGAAGACCGAATTTGGAATTAAAGACTGAGACCAGAGAACCAAGCGACTAGGTCCTTAAGTGGGGGACACATCAGCCAAACCGCCAGGTTGCCAACCGGAAGAAAAGGACATGTGCTCTGAAAGTATGTACTAAGAGAAAAGAGACCGTAAAGCACCTAAAGCCTGGGCAGACTGACTCTTCCGAGTTGCCGGCTGGAAGTAAGGGAGAAACCAGTAAAGAATCCAAGGAAGAAAGAAAGTCCGAATGTAGGTACTGGGGTTGTGCAAACCTTACAAGGTTGAGGAGTACATAATGGAAGACTAATTAGGAAGGTTGTGGCTTGAGATACAGATCGGGTTATGGCAGTATCCTAAAGGATAGCTTGAGATATGAACCTGGTGACGGCAGCACAACAGGTACTAGTTAGAAGAAAATTACCGAACATGCAGATAAAAACATGTGTGGGACATGGACTACTCTGTTAGGTTTACCTCGTAGATAGACTAACCAGAAATAGTTAGTAAGTCCTAAGGTGGGTGCAAAATCTACAGATGTCGCAAAATCTATGTATGAATAGCGAGTTACACCTTGGTTAGTTTAGGAATGGATAGCAGTTATGACCAGAGGGTTTAAATGGGTATCCCTATAGTTGGGATGCAGGTACAGCAGCTAGTGTGGAATCTAGGGCAGACTACTTAAATAGGCAACCAAAAGTTGCATGTATGGCTAGTTGTACTCTTATTAGTAATAATCAGAGAGCTTAAAATAGGTAATCTCCTAGTTAGGTTGCAGGTATGGCAGCTAGTGTAGAATCCAGGCGGACCACTTAAATTAGGTACCAAAAGTACACATGTGGCTTGATGTACCCTCATTATAACTGTATAACCTGAAGTTAATAAGTTTAATAAAAAAACCCGGCCGTAGAGGTCATCTTAATGCCAAAAAAAAAAAAAAAAATTCAAGTTTTATATATTTTATTTTATTAATTTGTGTAATTTAGCCCATGAGTATAAAGATAATTTATTAAGATGTCTAATATCAGTTTAATCACAAACATAGTGCAAAATATATAGTAATAATCACTAATTAATTTTTTTTATGATTTACTATTAAAAATAATATTGCACTAGTTTTTATTTTTCAAATAGTATTCGATATTTTTTGATTCTGTAAATTGTATATACTTTATGAAATATATACCTACAAAGTGACAATATTAAATTTTATATTATCTAATATAAATTTACTATTATTAATATATATAAAATTTAACGTTGTCACTTTGTAGATACAATTTACAAAATCAAAAATATTGAATACTTCTTGAGAAATAAAAACTAGCGTGATATAGTAAATCATGAAAAAAAATTAATTAGTAATCATTACTATATAGCTTGCACTATGTTTGTGATTAAACTAATACTGTATTAGACACCCTAACGCTAATGATTTATCAGTGGAATTAAAATCATGAATATAAATACTTATCTCTAAATATCTAAAATCATGTTCAAGTTATAGTATGTAGCTAATATGTTACATGATAAACCTATATACATATATTCAAGTATTATAGTGTATTTATCGTTATATTTAACATTTATACTTTTCTGTTTTTGGTTTGGTACAACTGTTATAAACACTTGTAGTACATATTAAGGCTTAAATTAGAACAATTTTATCTGAATTATCTGAATAATCTTTTACCAGTTTTTTAAACAATTGTAAACAATATAAATAATTATAAACAAATACTGTACTTCTTGCTCTAGTAATATAAAAATGACAAAAGAGATTATATCTCTTTTGGAATTTGTGAGAAAATTATATTTTGTTAATCTATGCTGACCTTTAGTAGCAAATTAATCACGTTATACTATTGTGTAAAGCAAGATATGCAAGCCAAAATATTATATTGATATTTTTAATTCAGTAATTAAATAATTCAATATAAGTATTATCTAAGCTATACTCTAATAAAGAGTTATTTATTTCAAGATAGATAAATCTCTAATAAATAATATCTTTAAGAATTCAATTAATGAATGATAACCTAATGCCTCATAATTGAGTATATATATTTTCTCGCCCTTTGTATAATTATCTTTACTAGTTTTTGAAGTCATTATTTTTATATTGCTGCAAATATTGTAAAGGCAATAATATAAATTGCTGAAATTTTATATATTAACTCAAATATAAAAATATTTATTGAATATAAAGATATCAATAAAAAAAAAATAAAAATTTAAAAATATTTGTCTTTAGAACTAGTATTCTATCTAAATTACCTATCATATTATCTATCTATCCAACCTTTATAAGCAAATAAAAGCATAATAATTATAATGACCAAAAAAAAAGTAAAATAAAAAAATAAAAAATTATTTATAATGAAATATTATGAGTGATTCTTTGCAAAAACTCCATAACAGAATAATTGTTACGGTTATTAAAAACTGTTAAAATTTGCTTTTCATTATCAATGCTATGTTTAGATTGGGAGGGTTCAGATTCTTCACAAAGTAAACTTTCAATTTGCAATTTAGTTTTATTTTGCTTCTTGTACATTTCTTTAATGATAGTATATACGCCAACATGTGCTCTTCCTACAATAGTATTCCACCTATTGTGCCATGTCTCTATATTGTTTTGGGTTCTGGATAACCTGCTTCAACAAGCTCATGAAAGACCATAATGCAGGTGGGAATAATGATGTAAAATGGAGTACTGATCCATTTTGAAGTTGTTATAATACTCTCTCACAAATATAAGTTTCTTCAAAGTATTTAACAATACTGTTTGTACTAGGAGACAAAATAGCCTTAATATGGTCAAATGCTGATGGAATTTCTGCCGAGGGCAAAAATGCAAGTGCAGAAAGATACTGCAATTTTATACTTAAATCTTCATTAGTTCCATATTCAACAGACAACCC